AAAAAAAAAAAAAAAAAAAAAAAAAAAAAAAAAAAGTGATCACTTTCATCTTCCTGTAGAGATAGTAAAATTATCTATGAATTCAACAAATACAGCCACTTTGAGGTAAAACATTTTATCTTGATTACTCACAATTATTTATTTACTTGACAGTTTATTCTGATTCTGTTTCCAATTTCCTCAATACTTTATAATTTTCTTAATTTTGTTTTAAGAGCACTTGAAAACTCAGAAAATAAAGATCAAAAATAAAAAAACAAAGTGCCTTTAATTCCACGGCCTAGCAATAACCACAGTGAACATTCCATTGGATTATGTTAATTTAAACAATATAACCTAGCACTTACATCTGTGTGTTGAAATCTTGCGTTGGGTCTAAAGGCGAGTAGTCAAATATTCTTGGAAGATTTCCTACATACCTAGTAAATGAGAGGTGACAGTCAAAACAGAGTGTGATGGTTAAGCAAGCGTGAACTTGATTGTCTTAGGGTCTGCCCAGAGGATTAGTAAAGCACAATTCTCTGGGGGGGTCACGGAGTTGTGACCCTGAGGTCTACATCTGGCCCTTTTCCCTCTGGCACTGTTCCCGTGCTCCGTTTCCCAGCCACCATGAACTGAATAGCTTTGTTCCAGCTTGCCCGTCTGCCACGACATTTCTGCTTTGGAGCATCCCAATTATGGAATGAACCCTCTGAAACCGTGAGGTAAATCAACCTATCCTCCTTTAAACGATGGGTGTTGGGAATTTCTTTCTCCAACAATAGGGAAGCTAATACACAGAGGAACTGAGAAAAACAGGGTTAAAACAATCATTCTCATGAAGAGGTTCTTGCCTGTCAAAATCAAGCCATCCACCTGAAGAAAGCTTTTCCTGAGATCATCCTCCAACTGCCAAACTCATGAGCCATCTTGAAATGTTAATCCTTCTATCATTGGTTGCAGGTCAGAATCACTAAAGAGTTTCTTAAAAAATTACCAAAGCCAGAGCCACGTTCTGATGTTCCACTTCCCTAATTTATGATGTTTTGGGACTTAGAATTCTTTTAAAAGTTTCCCACATGATTCTAACAGGTCACCAGAGTCAAGAACATCGGTTTATGCTCTCACAATCACTTCACATACAAAAGGTAAAGTTAGTAGCAACTCTCTCCTTTGACCAAAACTTTAGTCAGGCTCCTCTGAGTACTCTGTCTGACCAGGCCCAACATGGCCTCCCCTTCCTGTTCTTGGAGAATCTATTTGGAGTGATCCTGCTGTATCAGTTGAGTGGAAATCCCCACCGTTGCATCTGACTTGCCCTCAGCAATATTCCTACCAAAAGTTTGGCCAGAGGCCCCTCCTCCTTGATATTTCCTCTCAGTAATGCCCCATCCAACACCCGTCACCCTGATCCTTGGTTGTACATCTCTACTGGTCCTCCCTGGAGTTAGGGTTGCATTCATCTCTCCAATTCACCACAAGACTTTGGTGCTGTGGTCCCTGTGCTCATTGTCATGGCCTTCACTGTATAAGTCTGTCTCACCATCTTAGCAAGTACTTGAATAATTTCTTCTTTAAAATTATGAAGTGTCCAATAATCTCAAAATGAATAATAATGTTAGAAGCTATGGCAACTACCATTTCTTGAGTTTTTCCTACGGTAGCAAGTAGTCTTCATTACAAACATAAGAGGAAGGGATTGTTATTACCATTATTTCATTTGAGAGATGAGAAATTTGGTTGCAAATTCATTAAGTAGTTTCCAAAGCCACCCAGGGAGCCCAGAAGGGCCCTGAACCACGGGTTGCAACTCCCTGGCTGTACCTTCATCCCTTGAACAGTACACAATCCCCCCTTCTACTGGGTTCATCCTGAGAATGGGGCTACCGGAGCATCCCAATGCACAACCATTCCTTTCACTGCCTCAGTCACTGCCTATTCCACACCCTCTACTGGTGTGCTCCTCTTTCCCCCTTCAGATTCTGATTCTCTGAGCCTGAGAATTCTGCAAAGAATGACTCAGAAACAGATCCCTTTCTCTGGTCCTCTGTGTACGCTCATCTGCTTGCTTCTCTGACCCCCTTCTTCACTATTCTTCCCCTACTCACAATGTCCTGGCCATTCACCCCTCCTGCTGCCCCAGGGCACACCACACTCAGTCCTGCTTCCAGGCCATGCCATCTACTGTCTCTTCACAGACGCTTGCTTGCCAACTCCTTTTCAGGTCCGCTGGAAGTCACTTCCCTAGACTCGGCCAAAACAAGAGTAGTTGCCCTTACCCTTCCTAACTCTATATTGCCTGCCCCTGGCTGACCTTCTTAGCTTCTTCATATTCATCACTATTTGCAATTAAGCAATTCATTTACCTTCTTGTTTATTATCTATCTCTTTAGAGACTGCATTCTAGAATGCAATCTCCATAAAGACAGAGACTCTGTCTTGTCAAATCACTGCATCTCCAGCACGAGATAGCCCTGACATGTAAAACATTCAATACATAGTTGTTAATGAATACACTCATACCATGTCACCACATAACAAATCTTCATAACTGACTACCACTAAATGAATAGAAAAGGCATTATAATGATTTGGATGTACGTCCTCTAAAAGCCATGTAATTTGGTTCCCAGCCTATGGCATTTTCAGCAAGTAGAGAAAACTTCAGGAGGGAGTTGGGAGTGGGAGGAAGTTGGAACTTAGGTCACTGGGGTGGATTGTGAAACCCTGCAGGTTCTCGTTCTCTCTGTTCCTCTCCCTCTCCCTCTCCCTCTCCCTCTCTTGGTGCTACCTGTGAGGTCCATGGTCCTTCTCTGCCATAAATTACCATCATGATGAACTGTGCAACCACAGGTCCAAAACAATAGGGCCAACTGGACCTGGATGAAAACAAAACTGTGAGCCACGCTAAACCTTTCCTCTTTCTTAATTTGGTTGTCTTTGGATATTTCGTCCCAGTGATAGAAAGCTGACCGACACAGGCATTCTTGCAAGAAAGTCTGGCAGAGAACCACGGTACGCTAGTAGTTAATTACAACCTCCAATTGGATCCCTCAACTACTATAAATTTCTAGGTACCTCTGTCCACAAACTCTGAATTTGTATCCCAAATTGTACATCTACCTCAAAGTTAACCGAACACACGTCTCTGAGCCAGTCCCATTCAACTGGCATTTTTAATGTGTCACTTGGGCAAAAAGGTCACAGAGAAATTTTCAAAAGACAGAGAGCCAAACCACAGATAAGCCAAACTTTAGAGCTAACCTACTTAGATGCAGTGGTCATACAAGTGATTTTTTTTATAATATACAGCATGATGGACTAGTTCATTAGTTCTCCCATGCTCCAATGTTCATTAAACTTCCAGCCCTGACTAAACAAAGCAAAACAAAAACAAAACAAACAAACAAACAAAAAAACCCAGTGGAAAGATGCACAATAGTGAAAAGGCTTGTACTTAACACAAGACTGGTGGAGAAGGGCAGAGGTACAGGGATAAATCTTTAATGTCAGAAAAGTCCATTTGACCAGCAACTTACATTCCTTTTCTAACTGATGAGAAATATCCTCCATTACAACAAAATTAAATTAAAATGCAAAAGTATTTTTAAGTAATTTTTTAAATGTATATTACACCATCAGTTTGTAACTCAGTGGCCCTCAATGAAAAAGATGTAATTTGGCTACTTGACAGTCCAGCCTACTTCTCATTCAATTTGCACACACATCTATCCAGATCTGATCCTTGGTGAGCATTTACACTATGCTGTGCATACAGTATCTTCTCCTCGTGAGTCACTCTTCCTACTCACAAGACAGAGATACTGAGCTGGCCTACAGTGGGAAAAAATAGTTTGACAAGCAAACATTTCAATCTAAGGATATCAGAGAATGAAAAGAATGAGGGTGAATGTGAACAGTAAGTTGCTCACAGTCTAACATATATAGTGAATGTTTACAAAAATAGAACTTAAAAATTCAATAATAGAAAATTCTAACACTCTTGAAACAAGAGTAAGAAGAGGTTCAAATGTTAAATTCAAACCACAGACATGATGTACATTTTTTTCATTAAAGAAAAAAATACAGAAAGTTAATGCTTGATCTAACTGTAGCGTGTAGGAAGAAAACAAATGTAATTGTAGATTTGTAAAGCGCTAAAAATACTGTTGGACTTTGTAAGAAAAGAACACAAGTTTCTTCCACCTTAGTTTAAAAGGAATAATAATTATACAACACCAACCAGGACATGCGTTCAACATTTTGAAGAAAGGTCTTAGAACATGAGTCATATAAGACAGAGTTATATTATTCCCCAGTGAAATGATAATAATACAAGTATGAGACATGGGTAAGAATCTAAAAATAATATGGCACACAGTGCACATCTTTGAAAAGGATTTCCCACCTCCAGTTTGAAAGTTGCTCTTCCAACACCGCCCAACACCTTCTGTCCCTACTCCTCCCCCACATCTGACAGGGGCGTGTCCTCAAGTGTCCTCTCTGACTACCTTCTCCTCTTGCGTGGAACACACCGCTTTTGTATCCGCATGGCTGCTCTCATGGGTGATTTAGTATCTGTTCTCTGTGTGTTGCCTGAGGTGAACACCATCCCCTTTGTTTACCACTGGCCTGCACACTGTTGAGAAAAACCCAACACACTCTTCCTCGGTGGGTGAGAAAATGAAAAACAGGTGTGGAGCGCTGACCATGTATTTTCAGCCAGAAAAGAGGGTAAGTGTTCAAATAAGAAGAAAGGAAAGAAAAGGGTACCTGATATACTTTTGATTGACCACTAGTTAAAGATGTCAGGATTTTGATTCCGGGGGAGTATGACATGAAGCCCTGTGCTATTCCTAGCATGCTCTCTGCCTGTCGGTCTGTCTCGCACACTTGAATCACAGTGGAAACCTACCCACTCTGAAACACACTAAAGAAATCTTCTAAGCTTAGGCAGTAGCTGCCCATGAGCACACTCACCACAGCTCCTGGGCTCTGTAGCTCCCTCTCCTAGGCACAGCTCAAGGAGGAAAATGGCCATGGACACAGCTACTGTGCTAGATGTGGGGAGAATAAGGCAATCCTGTACTGCACCGTTAGGAAGCACCTTAAATCAGTGCCTCCAAAATGTCTGTGATGCAGGACCCACTTTGTCTGACTCAGACCGGTGACACCTTTTAAATTGTCATCAAAATAAGTTATTAGAAAAATAAAATGCCACTTGTAAAACATGGCAATGTCAAATTGCTACAAACATTTCTAATTGCTTATTTGCAATTTCCATGCTTATTTCTTCACAGAATCACATTCAACAGTTCACAAACTAGTGAAAGACCAGCACTCATCTCTGAACCACAGGCGCGCGCGTGGTGTGTGTGTGTGTGTGTGTGTGTGTGTGTGTGTGTGTGTCTTTGATTTGGTGGTATTTGGATTGAGTCTGGGGCCTTGTGCATGCCAGGGAAGCACTCTACCACTGAGTTATATTTGCAGCCCTTTTTACTTTTTATTTTGAAGCAGGGTCTTGCTAAGTCCCAAGTTGCCTAGGCTGAGCTCAAACTTGCAGTCCTCCAGCCTCAGGCTTCTAGCGTACTAGCATTACAGGCAATTACCACCACACTCAACTACGAAGCCTCTGTACGTTGCCCAGGCTGACCTTAAACTGGCGATCTTCTGGCCTCCTCAGTAGTGGAGATTACAGGCATGTGCCATCACGCCTGGCTGTGAAACACACTTTGAGTAGCGAAAAGATGAAAACCCTATAACCCCTAAGAACACTTTCCTCCCCTAGAGGGGAGACATCAGCTAAAGAATCCACTGAGTCTCTGCTGACAAATCTGTACAGGGAATTTGGGAGGTCTGCTGTGAAGATTAATGATTAATGTAACCTTGGCATGCAGAGTAAGCGTCTAAAAGCCTCAACTAACATAACAAACCCTCATAGAGTGTTTTCCAAAACTCTCCCCGTGACACCTGGTAAGTGTCCCCACCCAGCCTCAGGAAGAGAAGTCACATCATGGATAAGTTTCAAACGTCAGGGAGGAATGAAGACGAGCTGTTCCCTGGGCGCGGTAGAAGGGACTCAAAGGGACAGGAGCAGTGCTTCGGGGCCCCCAGCACCGCGGGGCACTTACGCTCTCTGGAACTCTGGGATGCTGAAGATGGCCTGCATGACTGAGCTGAGGTAGCAGCTGTTGCCCAGGTTCCTCAGGCCCGTGTACCCCGGGCCGTACATGGGCTTCAGCTTCGTCCCCGATTCCTGGATCACTTCCCACTCGCTGACCCTTGGCTTAATGTCATTGTCCCGGAGCCCGTTCTCTGTCTGGGGCAAAGTCATCAATGAAAAACAACTTTAAATATGATTTCTTTCCTTCTTTCTTTCTTTCTTTTTTTTTTTGTCCCGGGGATCGAACTTGGGACCTTGCATTTGCAAGGCAGGAAGCAGCACCACTGAGCTAAATCCCCAGCCCTACATTTGATTTCTCTTCAATGATTATGTCTCATGAATTATTTCTAATGTCAGTGGACATTTCTAGTATCTCCCCACCCTCAATTACAGGGAGAAATACACAGTTTAATTGACAGACTGTGAGAGATGATAGCAGCACGAAACTGTCAGTGTGCTTAATGCCACAGAATTACACACTTAAAATGGGTTAAATGGCAGGTTTTATGTTATATATATTTGACCACTATTTTTAAAATGAAAAAAATAAAATTTTTCTAAATGAGAAAAAAGAGAAAAGACTGAGAAGGAAGAAGATGGAAGGAGAAAACAGGAACCAAAAAAACAAACAAAAAGGCCAAAGGAAGATGCAAAATAGGCTAGGAGTGTGGAACAAAACCATGGGAACCACGTTCCAAGCGGAAGGAGGTTAAAGAAACACGGGAAAAACAAATGAAAAGCCAGGTACAAGTGAAAAAAGAGGAGACAGCAGAAGACAGGAGTAGAGAGGGTGGTAGTGTGGGAGGAAAGTGCTACAACAAAGCATGGATATTTAAACAGTATCTCAGAGGGAACAATACTTCATAGTCATGATATCGACTTGAAAACACAATGCTAAATGAAGCAAAGCTTTTCCACCAACAATAACATGCTGGCTAATTCTTTCCATCACCCCAGGACCTGTGCTTCCCTTCCCGAAATTAATTAAAAATGGAGTTGAGCACAGGTAATTTTAAAGGTCATCTTGCTGTACCTTCTCCCTTCATGAACAAAGAGTGATTCACTCAATGGGCCATCAAAAGAGACAGAAATTTTGCAAGTAAACTCCTGTACAACAAAACTGTACCCAATGGGGCACCATTTCTTGTTACAACATTTAAAAAAAAATTTAAGCTGGTAATCAAAAGAAAATGCTAATTAATTCAACTTAAGAAGTACGTGCAAAATTAAAACACAAAATCTAAGAAATAAAGATCCATTAGAGGAATTATATACTAAATAAACCATAGTACCCTCACCCTTCTCCCCCAACCCAAGTGGGATTAGAGAAAAAAGAAAACCTTCTCACCCCGTGCATGTGAAGCATATCAATTCCAAAATGCGCTAAGTGCTTGGACAAGTGAGGATCCAAAACAGGTTCCTCTTCTTGAAAAGAATAAACATCTAGAGGATGAAAAGAAATAAGCACAGAGGTTTGTAATCAAGTCATTCAATCTTTCTTTTTTGGGGGCGGGGTGAGACAGGGTCTCTCTATGTAGTTGAGACTGACTTGGAACTCACTACGCAGCCCAGGCTGGTCTCAAACTCACAGCGATCCTCCTGCCTCAGCCTCCCGAGTGCTGGGATTAAACGCGTGCGCCACCACGCCCGGCTTTCAGTATTTCAATATGCACTTACTGAGTTCTTACTGTGCACCAAACTTGGTGAATATCAATGAACAGAACAAAAGATTTCTAACATTCAACTAGGAAAAAGACAGGAAATAAACAATAAACATAATAAATAGGCGTAAATTTTGTAAGTATACACACATATCAATTCTATTGACATTTCAAAACATTAAGAAAAAAAAAGTTTTCTGAAACAAGGAGGAAAAAAAGAACAGTATCTGAAGTTAAAATAATTGAGATAAACATAAGTGCCTAATACTTGATTTTTCTAACCAGAGTACAGTGGCATAAGTCTAAGCTCACAAGAGGGAAAATGAAGGAGGAAACCTGAGGCCATCTGCTGTGGTGGGAGATTTATGGGGGACACGGTGAATACAGGGCCCCTGTGTGGCAGACTGCACCAGACAAACTCTGCCAGAGGAACCCTCGCTTCTTAGATCTCCTCCTCCCCTTTCACATCCCTTTCCCACATCCCTTCCTTCCTGTTTTAGGGTCCACAGTTCACTGAATCAATGACAGACTTGTGCAAACTGCCTGGTATTTCCCGATGTACCCACCTCACGGAACACTCAGGAACAGAGGAAGTGCCCAGAGCTGCAGGGCAACTCAGGAGACTCCAGAAGACTCTGTAGCACACTAGGGTTGGGGAGCTCTGTTCTGGGGTGGGCAGCCTCGCTCCTCCAGATAATGATATCCCACCTGATAATACGATGCTCGATGCTGCACCTGGCTTCCAAAGTGTGGTGTATGGGCCTGAATCTGCAGTGGCGCCTGCACTTCTTGGAAATGCAGAATCTAGGGCCCCACCCCAGACCCACCAAATCAAAGTCTATGTTTTATTTTTTGGTTTTGGTTGGGGGAGTGTTTGTTGGTGGTGATGTTGTTCCAGGGATCGAACTCAGGACCTTGCGCTTGTGAGGTGGTGGCAGAACCACTGAGTTAAATCCCTGGCCCCAAAGTCAGTTTTACCAAGATCCCTGAGGGCACAGCAAAGTTTTAAAAGCACTGTTCACAATTTTCAAAGCTATGCGAGCCCCTGCCTTATCTGTCCTCACACACCAACGCCATGTGGGAGAGGAACAGGCATTTTCAGGCCCATCCTGAAGAGAGGAAAAGAGCTCCTAAAGGTTAAATGCTATCTCCTCAAATCCCACTAGTGTCCAAGAACCCAGCTACCTGACTCCCTGGACATTGGAACAGCCCTTACCCTATCTCAAGGTGCTATGGATGGGCACAACATGACCTAGTCCTGTTCATAGGAATGAAGACTCAAAACCACAATTTCTTCATTCCTAAATATGAAAGACAAATCTACTACAAGAAAAATAAACACAAAGGTATCATTATTTAGGACCACAAAAGATAGGCTAAGGAGTTTCTTAGTCCTAGAACATCACTAGAAAAGTACCTTGATTTGCATGGGCACTCTGATGATCCTATGCCCTTTACCAGATATCTGGAGACTCACTGCCCCCAGAGGAAGTCAGTCTTTTTATTTTTAATAGATTAAGCATTGTACAACTTCCTTTTCTACACCTCTTCCCCTAAGTGCCCATTTCAACCTATGCATAATAGCCTTTGTTTATATTTGTTTTATACTATAATTCAGTATTCTCAAAAGCAAAAAGAAAAGACAAATTTCCCAGCACAATTAAGAAAAATATTTCCAAAAGTTTAAATACCAAAAAACCCCTCTGAACTAGCACCATAAATATACATCAACAATATTTTTAATCTATGAAAAGGAACAGGAAAATGTCACTCAAATTCCAGCTGCAGGGTGAAAATGGTACTAAGTACTTTGACTTTGGTTCTTATCAACTAATGAGACAGTTTCAACGATTTTTTTTTATTGGTACATTTTTAGATACACAATACAGCTACATTCGTCATTGGGATCTTGCACCTTTACAAGACTTCTTGGTTCTTATTTTTCTCCATTCCCCTATCCTCCCTTCCTCCCTCCACACTTCCCTATTTACAAAGACTTTGTTTCCTTATCTTCTTTTGTCTTATTTTTTTCTCTTCCCTTTTTACCTTTGCCCTACGCCTCCCATTTGCAAAAGTGTAAATAAGGGTCAAAATGTATAATTGATATTTTCTAACAGTTTCAAAGACTTAAGACTATGCTGCTAATTATCAAAGATCTATTAGAAAATAATAAATTGTACCACTGGCATTGGCCTAGGATTTTGAAATAAGTGAAAAATCACACCGCCTTCTATGTTTCTTAACCCGTTAGGCTCCTGTGACACTGAGAAAATAACAACCTGGGTTGTCAAATGTGCAGAGACACAGCTTGATTTGGCAAGACACAATAGCTATTGCTTACCTCAATGTGAAAAACAGTTTGAGGGATGACATACCAGCAACCTAAAAATAAACTGTGATCTTTAATCTTGACCATGATGAAGAATTAGAGAAAACTGTAAGGCTGTAAATACTGCCTTGTATAGTTTTCTTTGGGAAATTTGTTTTTCAACTTCAGCTTAGCAAAGGTAGGTCTTAGCTCAGAAACCATCATAGCAAATGAGCAGTGCCGGACAAGTATTGCCCTCTACACGCTCCAGCTTGGCCTAAAACTTGGAACCAAGAATGATGGCTCTGAAGTCCATGGAGAGATCCTCCCAGGAATAGCCCGAGCCCTGTTTCATGAGTAACTATGTTCATTTTAGAAATAAACCGGTCATCATTCCATCTCAAGGGAAATGACAGACAGCATGAGCCAGCACTCCAGAGAGAAAAGATAAAAGGAAATTTTTAGAACAGGGATACCCCACTCATATGATGAGCATGTTAGAAACAGTATGTGCGGTAAGTTCAAAAACCAAAGAAGAGAAAAGTTAGGAACAAAGATGGAAAGTGAGACTGACACTGGGAGCAAGACTGGACTGTGAGAAACATTATCAAGTGGTAACAATGTGTTATCTCTGAATGGGAAGATTTCTTTTACTTGTTTCTTCTCTCTTTTTCACAAACTTACGATAACACTCTGATTGAAAAACTCTAAAAGTAATTCCCAAAGATTACAGTGATTATCTTGGATAGTATGCTATTAAGACAGTGAGCTACTGGTCAACCAAGCTACTTAATCATTCATTCATCATATTCAACAAATATTTACTGATCACAAAATACGCATGGTTACTGGGGATATAAATGTCAAATAAAATGGGCAGGGTCCCTGCCTTCATAAATTTAAACACTACTACTTCAAATAACCTTAGAAGGAATGCTCATTTGGTGTGAAGGATCTCAACTAAAGTCCTCTTGACTAAGACTCAGTCATGTGACCTACAGCTCTTATCCTAAGCCCCAGAAAATGGCAGAAGTAATGATGAATCTCACAAGTTCTTGTGTTTACAAAGAGAAAGGGAATCAAGGAGGCAGCTTTGCTGCCCTGCTCACAGCTCAAGGGGAGAGATGACCAGAGCTCCTGATCAAATACCAAGTAGAAATTCAGAGAACAGAGGCTGAGGGAAGCTTCTCTTCAGAGTAAGTGCTGACCTGTCCACCCAAACCACACCTCTCCATGGTAAGTTTATATTTGTGACTGTATACGTGTGTGCTGGTGTCATCTGCCACCAGCAGGAAAAGAAGGTAAAGGGGAGACTGTTCCAGCAATCACACTAGAAAAACGGTCACAAAATGAATGAGGTCAGAGGCATGAATGAGCACATTAAAGGAATATATTTCCTGGGCTAGACAAAACCTAGACTTAGAGCCAAGATAGGAAAATTGATAAGAGTACAAAGATATCAATAAAAGTAAGAAAAACAGAAGAAAAAATTTTAAAACAAAAAAGGTGAATCAGAGGAGCGGATTCAATTGGCACACTTTGCTCTATTTTTTTACTCCACAAATATTTACTGAGTTTCTACTATGTCCCAGAGCTAGGCTACATGCTAGAGATATAATGCTGGACAACAAACATAGCACTCAGGGCCTGCTGCCCCAGGTGACCACCATTAAGTAAACAATTGGAGGATCCAGTGAAAGGTACCACAATGGGACGTACAGTACCGGGTACTACAAACACAGGGATGGCACAAGCCAGGTCAAAACTATTGAAATAGTCAATGCCTTGATTCTAAACCCTCAGGCTGTGAGAAACTCAAGAGAGTTGGTCAAGGGTGACCATGACCAAAATAGAAAAACCAGCTTGAGATGCTGAAGAGCTATCACAGACAACAGGACATGCCATCTCAGAGCTGCCTCGGGCATACCTGGACAACTCTCCATTGCCCATGGCATAGAAGCACCTTCGGAGGTAAATAACTAGTTTCCATGAGGGGGTAAAATATATCCTTGTCCTGCCTCCATCTCCCCTTAGTCCCTTCCCATGGAGAACCTCCTCCTTGTTAGGCCAAAACAATGTCTTCCTCCTCTCTGCACTGGAAAGCTTTTGTTTGTGTGGTGAGCAGTTTCCTGTTTTGCTTGTTGTTGTACCCATGGGGACCAGAGTGGAATTGGATGTAGGGCCTGCTTTTACGACATACGCCACTACCCTGACCTAGGCTGGGGATCAGGAATTCCAGGGCAAACCAACATCTCTGCAGAGACCTCCAGGGTAGAAAAAGTTTCTCGCTGAGCGGATACATCCTCCTTTGAGGAGAGGAAACCAGGATGAGCAGACCATACCACCATTAAATATCTGACTCTACAACCTTCTTGGATTCCATATTCACTAAGCAATCTTCTAAATATAATCCAGCTTCCCACAGGGAAGGAATGTACTGGTTGAGCTGACATAAACATCCAACTTACTAGCAGTTGTGGTTCTCATTATGACCTAAAAAACAAATGCCACGACTTTGAGACTTTGTCTCTGGTGCTGTAGAATTAGCCTGAGGGGCCACAGTGTGTGAAAGACCAAGCCGTAGGCAGGGGTCCTTCACTAGGACGTGACCCCCGCCCCCACCAGACAGGGGGCACCCACCTTCCTAGGCCTCCAAGTCCACAGGCTCATCAATAGAAACTTAAGGAAAGTTTATACATGTTTGTACTAATTCATTTGGTGTTTAAATAAGCAGTAAGTTATAGCTAACAACCCATTAAATAGATTTAAAGGAAACAAAACAGAATTGATATAAAACATGAACTAATACGAAATGATAATCAAGACTGAAAGCAGTCATTTCTATTAAACCAGCACTACACAACACACATAGAAATCAAAACCTTATCTTTTTTCACATTACCAATATTTCAGCTAGATGAATTCAAGAACCCTCATAACAGGATGTATAATCTTCATTGTTGTTGCCCAGTGTCTTGTACTTTCTATGAATGAAGGAGTATTACTCCATTATTGTCAATTATGTAAGACAAACTTTATTTTTATTTTTTAAATTTATATGCGTACCTATGTTTATAGCAGAAGTTTGTAATAGCTAAAACATGGAAACAGCCCATTTGCCCATCAGTTGGAAACTGGATAAAGAAGATGTGGTTTGTCTATAAAATGGAATACTACTCAGCCATAAAGAATGATAAATTAGAGTTATTCATAGGAAAATGGATACATTTTGAGGATATACTCTTAAGTGAAATAAATAAGTTACACATATGCAAATACCGAATAGTTTCTCTGGTGTGAAAAACTATAATAGTACGCAAGATCCTAATGAGATAATTAACAATGTGAAATAGGAAGAAAAGGGCTAAAGGTATAGGGAGAGTGGGAAGGGTAGGGGAAAGGGAATAAGGGAAAAGAAAAAATATGAGAAAATGAAAAAATGGAAATAAAGTGTTTGTAAATGGGGAGGGGAGGAGGGGGTGAAGGGAGGGCAGGGACAAGGGGAAAAAATGAGAACCAAGACCTGTCATGTAAAGGTACAAGATCCCAGTAATGAATGTAACTGTATATCTAGAATGTACCAATAAAATCAATAAAAAGAAAAAAAAATTAGGAATAAAAGACATATTGTGAGTAATCCTCCTGAAAATATTGCTTCTTGCTTTAGACACACTTATCCCATTACTCTTGCCACTTTGTGAAGGAATTCTGGAAAGTTCTCCTGGTGTTGGTGTCTTCAGTTCTGTTGTTGTGGCTCCCTTGATGTACTGGATTGATTCAAAACATCGATCTCTCACGGTAGTTTTGACTTAGGGAAAAAGTCAGAAGTTACACACTGCCAGACTCAGTGAGCACGCAAGATGAGGACACATCGTAATGTTTTTATTTGACAGAAGTTGCTGTAAACGTTTAATCAATGAGGGGGTGATCAGAAGATATGGTGAATATTTAAGTAAAAATAAGTATGCTAGAGTAAAAGACAAATTGCCAATAATTGCCCTCAAAATACTCCCCCTCACTTCAAAACAAAAACAGAAACTGTAGTAACTCAGAAAGGAAGAGTGAAATGATGTACGGAGCCATGATGGGATACTGAAGGATATTTAATAACATGGAAAGAAGCGTTAAATAGAGAAAACTAACAATAAATTTATAGTGATCCAATTTTTTGTGAAAATGTGGAGGTGAGGGTAAGAACTGAGTAAGTCCTTAGAAAAAGAAAAAAGATTGAAACACCAATATTGATAACAGTGAATAATTTGGAGGTTTTATGTTTAATTTATTTGTCTAAACCTCTTTCTCTGTTTTTTATATGTTACACTTTTTATATATGAACACATGCCCCTTTTATAATCAAAAGAAAAATATAAAATGCTCCGTTTTCACTTTTTTAAAATTAATTTTATTGGTACATTTTAGTATACAATATAATGACATTCATCATTGGAAATGTGCAACTTCTTCACTTTGAAAGAAAAGGAGCTGTAGATTTACCTAAATGGTTTAAAAATAAGCTTCTGGTAAATTGAAGATGCACAGGCAATAGGATGAACCTTTACTTTCTTTATAGATGCCTGTAAATAGAGCCTAATTCTTTAAATGCTTATGTGCCAATTGGTTTGTTTAACAAAAGCATTTGTTACCAATCCGTGAAGATTTTGGCATGGAGAGATTAATAAGACATAGACCTGACTTCAAACAACTAAAAATACTGAAGAACTAGGGCACATGTACAAGTGCATGTACCCTTGGTCCGGCTCTGAGAATTGGATTGTAAATAATGGCCTGTAGACTCACTACACAAGATAACACAGAAAGTAGGAAAATCTGGACTACAGTATTCTCCCCTTGCACTTTACCCGAGAATTCCTACTTTGCAAACCCTCTCTGTAACCCCACAGAGGGACAAGAAGGTCTATACAACAGTCCCCCGACACCCAGTGCAGAAGAACAATGATCTGTGAGCATGTGCTGCAAGTGGAGGTACAAATATGGGTGTGGATTTCCTCTTCAAACCCTGGGAGATTTAGAATGAGACCTGGTTCATGTACAGGTTCATTTACGTTGGGAGAAAATACTTGGTACCAGCCCCTGGGACTCTTACAGTCACTTTCCTCTAATGTATAAAAATAATTCCATCAAATTGGGAAGCAGGAAAATTCTCCAAATGTGAAACAAAAGAATCCTGACATGACTTAACTGCCAGGCCTCAGTTTCAGAATGAGTGAGAAACTAAACCAGCTCCCTGGAAAAGTAATGGTTGGTGAGAACTGTCCCATCGCTGAGTGAAAGGCATGGCAAATTAATTCAGAGGCAAGCTAATTCAGGTACAGAAAGATAACCAAGAAGGAGGGAAAAGCACCACCCAACCTTAGAACAAGGAAGAAGAAACAGAGTAAATAAATCTGGGAAGATGGAGGAGACTGGGCTGGGTGTTGTCCGGATGATCTTTGTTTAATAATTGTTGTCTAGGATGATCAGGTGATGGGATCTTATAGCCACTGCTCAGTATTTAAGTTTCTCATTCTTGACCAGTTATTATTTTTATTTTCCATCTCAAAACAGCAGAAGGAATTAATTGTACAAACATGGTCAAACGCTCATGTGTTAGACCAAGTGGGAGCAAAAGAAACAAAGGATTCTGAAGCTAACAACTCAAGTAAGAAATCACTCTCATCCTTCAAAGCACATGAATACTATCACTGCCTGAAATAAATGGTAGGGCTTCCACCTCCTGTAGTGGATTCAACTATACACAATGACTTCAAAAATCCTGTTTCCTGCTCCTGCCCTCTTAAACAAGAGAGAAGCACAAGGATAATAACAGCAGCTAACTTTTATAAAGGGCTGACTATGCGCACTGGCTAAATGTTTTATGCTCATTATCACCTATGAAGGAGGTACCATCACTGTCCTCAAAATGGAACTAAACCTTTGAAGAGTTAGAAATTTTGTCCAAGATCTCACAGCTAATCAAAGGCAAAATGAGGATTCAAACTCAGATTGAGTTCAGAGCAGATACTCTCCACCGGCAAGGATTAAGAGCTTGGTTAAATCTAAGAAGCCACTGCACATTCCCAAATTTGGTACCCACACTCACCTGCCCCATCAGGAGTGATGGTTCCCAACTTCACGGCCAAAGGATAGCCCACATCTCTGTAATGCTCCAGTGCATGCCCATTACCTCCAGAGCTGTCAAAGAACCACTTTCCACACAGGATGGAGCCGTCGGTCAAGTTCAACCAGAGGTTCTCCCGCAGGTCACACCTGGCACACTTCCAACCACTGGAAAGTCATTGGACAGCAGTGAGAACACCCCAAATAATTAACATCTGAGAAGACAGAGTGTCTCAGACTGCTCTGTCACAGGAAATGCTCAGTAGAATAACAGACACTGGTGCTTCCCCACGCTCCCCCTCGTGACAGTACTTTTGGGGGCTGAGGTACAGTCCAGTGGTAGGTAGAATGTATGCTTAGTACGCACAAGGCCCTGGGTTTGATTCCAGCACCCAAACAAAAAAACACATTATCATGACCGCTCCCAGAGCAGCTGGACCATTCAGCAACCTCCCTGGGATCGGCTCCTCCAGGCGTCTCCCGTGACATGGGGATAGGAAGGGAGCTCATTTCCTCCAAAGTCACAAATGAGGGACAGTGAAGTTTGAACAACTTTTAAATATTAAAGATCCTGTGTGAATAAGTATCTAAGAAAATGTGTAGCTAATAATTCAGGAAAAAAACGTTAGGAGAGCAATACTCCTTCAGCCAGTTTAAGGAGCGAAAGTCCCATTTTGCTACTTGACTCTCACCTTGGAGGAATCCTGACACCATTGTCCAGCTGGGTGAGGTTATTGGCATATTTAGATACTGGCAATTCATTTTCCCATGTGTCTGGGTCCTGCTTTCTGTAAGGAGATTTCGAGCTGAGAACTGCATCACAAGCAATTGTTACCTAGAAGACAAACCCAGATATGACATATAAAAACAGTTCGAGAGAATAACAACTTTTAGAAGATGAACTTAAAAGCCTGTTAATAAAGGTAGCTTAACTGATGTCACAGTTGCCATAAGAGCAATACTCTGGCTTCCTGCACACTCCCTAGATCTCGCTAGTTTTTTTTCCCTGACCTGGAGTGTAGAGCATTGGTAATAGAAAAGAATAGCAAGGAAGCAAAATCAGTTTGTAGGCTCAAGCTTAGGCATTAAATTGAACCATTCCTAACACTTAGCAAGCAAGGTGAAAAGTACAAGGCAAACAATTTACTAGGGTGAAATTAGGTACAGCAATGCCCAAGATTTACCCAAGCAGTCGATTTTCCTCCTTACAAACCCAGATATCTTATATCTTATATCTTATGCACCCAGATATCTGATATCCTCAACTCATCACACAGTGGCACGTGGTCAAGGGCACTCAAGTGGAAAGTACGCAGGGTGGCTCCATTTCTCACTCTGGTGCACATATGACCAAAGATGGGGACATGCTTAGGTGTCTCCATGCCAGATCAATCTCCATCATGAGCAAAAATGGGATGTCCTTCTTGGCACCAACTGAGCAGAAAAGGAGGAAGACAGATTCTGTCTTCTTCCAAATCTAACGGCTCCTGGCCATCTGCTAATATCAAATGTGCTGCTTGCTTAGAGCCATCAGCTATTTCCAGCTGTTTCTAGTCACTCATACTCTGGTGGAAAGGTGAAATGTACAGCCACTCTGGAAAATAGTTTGGCAGTTCCCTAAATTATTAAAGAGAGTTACCATAAAAGTCAGCAGTTCTGCAAGTGGGAATATACTCAAAAGATAGGAAAATATGTGACCACACAAAAACTTATAAGCCAACGTTCACAGCAGTATTTTGTAAGAAAATGGAAATAACCCAAATGCCTATCAATGACAAATAGAATGTATAATAAAGTTTAGTATGTTCCTACCATGAAATATTATTCAACAGTAAGAGGAAATGAAATACTGACATATGCCACGTGGGTAAATCTCGAAAATGCTAAATGGAAAAAAAAAATCACAAAGTAACACATTTTATGATTCCATTTATATGAAATTTCCAGAACAAATAAATCTACAGACAGAAAGTAGCTTAGTGGTTACCAGAGGCTAATGAGGAAGAGGAAGGTTTGCAGGATGATGGCTCAGGGATATGGGCTCTTTTGTTGGGATAATAAAAAATTCTAAAATTAGATAGTGATGATAGATGCCAAACTCTGAATATAATAAAAGCCACCGCATTGTTTTTGAAAATTTTTAAGATGAAGTGTTTGTAAATGGGGAGGGGAGGAGGGAGTGAAAGGGGGCAGGGACAAGGGGAAAAAATGAGAGCCGAGACCTGTCGTGTAGAGGTACAAGATCCCAGTAATGAATGGAACTGTACTGTAGACCTAGAATGTACCAATAAACTCAATGAGAAAAAAAATTTTAGGACAAAAACAAAATTTATATTCAACCTAACATCCTGCACAATCAGCGGACCATTTTTCCCTCAGCATTACTGACAACTAACCCTATGGACAAGGAACACACAATGGAAGAAGTTGCCTTAGCTTCCATCCTACACCACACCAAGCCCATGGGAAATCTCTACAAAGCCTCCATCAAAAATATATGTGGAATCTGCCCCTTCTCCATTTCACCCATAGTCTTGGCCGCCATCATGGCTCTCCCAGATGACACCCAGCCTTATTCTCCCTCTACTCTTCTCTTCTCTTCTCTGCCCAGCAGTCAGAGTAATCTGCTGTAAAAATGAGGCCCTATCCTCCCACAGCATACACTCTCCATTATACTCCGTGCTGATAATTGATGAGACTTGTCTAGGCAGAGTCAGGAACAAGAAATAGATCCTTGCCCCCAAAAAGCTTAGAATCCATTACACATCATCCCTTGCAGTGGGTAAGTACATAATTAGCCTTTCCTTTTATTAGAATCCACCTCCCACCACCTTTCAGGGATGCCTGTACAACTCAGGGCTGAAGGCTCCACAAGCCCCTTCCAGATTTTACACATCTGGCCCGTGCGCTGGTAGCACTTCTGGCCACAGCATTCTAATCTTTGGTGTGACCAATTATAACCTTTTTGTTAGTTTCACCAACTACCTGGAACATTCCCTGCCCTCCTCTGGATTTTTTCCACCCCCATTAAGACCAGTTTTACGTGTTCTTGGGTATAATGCACAATGATTTTGAATGAGATTCAGATGCAATCTTGTGTCTTTTCTTTGACTTTCCCTCCTGGTGACATCTAGCAAAATTTCCTTACATTTCTGGACCCTTATACAACACTGATGTACTGATGAGAATATCACCGAGAATCATTTAAAGATCCCTTCTTAGAGTTCCCAGCTAAAAGTCAGGATCAACCTCCTGTAACTGTGCTGTGCATTATTCTCTCTTGGATTTGTTATCTGCAGTGAAGTAAGGAAAGCTTAGCTGCATTCAAAGACTCTATAGGCCTGAAGTTTAGGGGTTCTGTGATACTAGCTCAAGCTGGCTCATAAGAGTTGAATGTGAAATTGTAATAAATTTTGCATTCCTGTGTTGTAGCATGGTTGTCTATGAATGCTCACAATGGCCAAAGAATGGGAACACCTAAAATGCCTGTCAACCAATGAGCAGATAAAGAAAATGTAACATACACATAGTGGAATACTATCCTGACATAAAAAGAACAAAACACTGTCATTTTGGACAACATGCATGGAACTGGAAATCATTATGTTAAATGAGATAAGTCAGGCACAGAAAGACAAGTACAGTACTGCATGGTGAAATCTAAAAATGTTGATCTCACAGAAGTTGAAAGTAGAATGGTCCTTACTAGGGGCTAGGGAGGACATGGGGGCAGAGGGGATGGGGAAAGATTATTTAATTTTTTCACACAAAGATTTCATCAGGCATGAGTGAGAGAAAAATAATTTCTCATGACATTTATGCATAAAATATTTCTTCTTTTCTGACAGCAGAAGTTAAGAGTTATGTCAAACAAAGGCAGTACGAACACAGTATGGCAGAGACATAAGCTTTAGTATATAGTTTCTGGGAATGGGATGAAGCTAGACCATTCCATCCACTAATATATTTTATCCCTGGTAACAGCAACATGAGTCAACACAGGGAATCTGAGAAAGCACAGGTAATTTAATTCTGCATGCTTCACTGAACACTGAGCGCTTAGTAGGAGAAGGGATTGTTACTTTTAATAAGTGGAAGGTCAACAATAGATAAATACATGAATTTCTCATTTCTGTGCTCCAATATGTATTTATAAAGTAGGTCAGAAGAAAAGAGGTTAAATGGTAGAAAATTTGTCCCTAGTAACACGGAAACCATTTGTACAAATGTCTCGCCTTGGCAGCAGCAAGTGAGCAGATGGCTATGGAGAGTCACGTAATGTCCAGCAGACTTGGGGGCCTGAAGACCTGGCTTTGGTTCTGGCAGAGTCTGAGGAAGGAAAAAATGAACTGGCATGTCTAACCTCAACCCACCCTGACCCCGCTGCCCTCAGTGACCAGGCTCTAAGTGGGAAAGAGGAAAAGGAAAGAAGACGAAGTGTTGGAAGCAACACAGGAAATGAGGAAAGAGTGGGAAAAACACTCAGGGGCCCTATAGAAATTCTGTGCCCATACAGGATTTGAGAATCAAAGAAAAACAACCCTCCTCCCTCCCTCATCATCACCACCCCTAGCTCCAAGTAGCTCAGGAAAATTAAGATCTCTCCACAAAACTGGATTGGAAAGAACAGAAAAGGGAAGGGGTGGGAGGGAAAGCTCAAGACTAAAAATACAAAATCTAGAGAGTAGTCTTGGCTCTCACAGGGAACAAAACTGAAAAGAATGGGTTTACGTTTCCCAGAGCTCCCACAGACCTGTGATTTGTAGATGTCTCTTTCTTTTTATAATTGTGTTGCTGTTGTTTAGCAATGGAACACATTTAGTTTTTCCAAACAAAATCTCACATGGAAAGAAAATATGAGAAAACTGATAAAAATATCATTGTCCCTCTGAGCAGAAGACTGTCTCTCTCCAGCAGTCCCTGTATATATCGGGTGCATGTTTTGGAAATCTAAGCAACGTACTGCAATCTGAGAACAAGAAACCAGCCCACCCTGGAAGAGCCTAGCCTTGGGATGATAATGTTCAAATAATACCGGAAGGGGTAGGCAGTGAGGTGGGTGCATGGCCCAGAGGTGCTGAAACAGAACCCTCCGAAGCCCATCACAGAAGAGAAGTGAGGTGTCCGTGTTCATGCTCATTCTTACCCTTGTCTCTCATTCAACCCACCTCCCCACTCCATGCACACACATCACACACACACACCTGACACAGAGTCACGCGCATCTAGCTAGCAGCTGTGCACACTCACTGACCAGGGCTGGTAATTCCTCAATATTTGGTAGTGCTATTTCATAGTGGTCTGGGAATATAACAAGTTTGGCTTCATCTTCATATTCATAATCGTCGCTATTTAAATTCTCATCAGTATCTAGATCTGAGGAGAAAACAAAAACAACAAGAAGTGAGGAAAGAAACATCCCATGCTAAGGCAGCTCTCAATGGGAAAGCCAGAAATCCACAAAGATGAGACCAAGGACATGACATTTACAATTTACAGTGTCCATCTGCCCCAACCAGGAATAACAGTCCCTGCCATCTTTCCTACGTCATGAATATTTATTTATCTGCAGCAGATGTATGGAGAAGACTGAGTCATATCATAAAACCCTATTGCTAGAACAGGCAAGTGTGAAAGACACTGAATTCTTAAAGATTTTTAAAGAAATAGGTTGTCACATGATTTGGAGGGGTACCTGGCTCCTGGTTTCATAAGAACTGGCCATTTTATGGGAGAAAGTATATGAATTTGAGAGTAAATACACCAGGTTTAACGCTCATTCCAGAATTTAATTTTACTCTGGACAAATCACAAACTCTCTAAACCCCATAGTTTCCTCACTAGCCACACGCAGATCACAGTACTTATCTACACAGTTTGCATGGAAGACAAATGAGAAATTATAGACAAGAGACATGGTACGTAGTAGTTAATAAACAGTAATCATTATTTTTCAATAAAATCTCCCTCCCCCTCTTTCTGCCTTTTTACCTATCTCTGTCTCTCCTTATCTGGTCACCCATCTCTCTGCCGTCACTGAGATCTTGCACAATAAACCAGAGGGGAAAACCCTATCATGAGAGTAGTCCTCTACCCTCGGGCTGCAGAGACTTCTCGGTACGATGAGCCCCTCTAGCCTGTTGTCTATCAAGCCATCGCCTCTTTGCTTGCTTAATCTCTGGTAAAGGTTAGGCGAAGGCTCAAGGAAACGTCTTGTCCCAATATTTACATGGACATTTCAGCCTCACGTTCACTGCAATGCCAGATCATGTTTGCATATTTATATGTTCAGAACTGTGGTGACAAAGCATGGCAGCTGAGCTACATTCCAATCACATGCGCAAAGCACACATGAGCAGATACATGAACATATGTGGAAACATAGGTTCGGTAGACAGAAAAGAAAGTTACTGTACTATAATCTGAAGCAGTCATCTGAGAACCAAAGGATCTAGTACCTATCACTTTGTATGCCTTTAACAAAAAAACTAGTATTTCTGTGTACAACTCCCCTTTTGAATTGTCCAAGGGAGGACAGGCTGAAGTAAAAGACAAAATAGAGCAAAAATACACTCCAAACATCTTAATAAAAGATTAACTGACCATACCCAGAGGAGCTCCTTCTCTGAGTTTAAAAAAAAAAATCTCCTCCCCAACTGTACATCCAAAACTCTCCCAGGCCCCAGGAAAAGAAGTTGAATTGAGGCCCATTTCCCCCAAGAAGCCCTGGATCCCCAGGAGGAAAGGGATCCTAGGCAAAACCCGGGCTCTGATTCCCAGCTCAGCATTCACTCAGCCTCACCAGACTGACTGTGTGTGCTGGAGTTGTGTGCTCTGCCTGTGCCGGGGCTGCAAAATCCAATCAACCATTAACCTTCACAAGGGCCAGGAAACAGAGAGTCCCCTGAGAAGAGAACAAATTCTCTGACCCATTTCAGGAGGAAACAGAAAATGGAGTTTATTTAAATTTTCTAGCCATCTGAGTCTCAAATGGGTTTTCTGAACAGGCCCACTGCCAGAATTTTTCAAAATTTTCTGTTTTCAACCTGTGCCTTACCAAGTATGAATGCAAAGCCAAAAAAACCAAAAACAAAAGAAATGGAACTTAAGCTCTCTGAGGTTCCATGGCAGCCCTTTGAATATTTAGCATTGTGATTCTAGTCTAATCACATTTTTTAATTTTTCTTTATTTTTTATTAGTACATGTTTGCAGTACATAGTGATCACATTTATCTTGGGGAGTTTGTATGTATACATAACACATCTTAATTCTTTTAATTTCCCTTTCCCCTTCCATTCCTCCCCACTCCCTCTGACTCTTGTTCACCTTCCTAATTTCATTTTTCACAATAAAGATACAAATGTGTACATAGGTGTAATAACTGCTAGTGCAGTAAAAATATACTGTATTTGGTGTGTCACTAAAAAGCTCCTAGTCACACTGAAGGTAATTGGGGATCCTGAAATCCCTTACCTACCCATCTCTCCTTCTCATAAAACACTGTTTTACATTAGTGTTTTTTTCTTTAGTTCACAGACTCTCCTAGTGCTGCAAGTTATCTTTCTGAAGACAAGGTAACAGTTTCTCTGCCCATCTTAGAAACATCAACAAAGAGTTACCCAAGTTGTGCAAGTTCACAGAACCACTAAGAATTTCAGAAGCTGGAGCCAGAACAACAACAACAAAAAAAAAAAAGCTAATCATTCTGCTTATTTAAGTGGTTAGGCCCAAATAACTAAGTATTGATGTTTTAACAACTCAGTAACCACTTGAAAAATTAATACATATGTTAATTTTATTACATAACCACAGTTTATGAGATGTGTATACATGCCGAGCTGCTGAGTACAAATTCTCTGAATCATGCTAAACACTGCCACTTTTATTTCTTCCTTCACATTGATCTTTACATGGTTCTTGCCTTTCACCATGGAAACCAAATTTTTTTTAAAAACAGCTTTATAAAAAAGATGAAGTCATTCAATAGAATACAGGAAAAAACTAATAGTAAAACTACATCATGGTTTATGCAGTATTTGACCATCACTCTTCTCTTGAAGACTTAAAATATCCCTCAGTGCTCTTATGAGTTCACTTTAGGTGACTAAGAACACCATTTGGGAACCAAAATCCCCACAGCCCTCATAAAATCAATACAGAAGGTTGTAACCAAATGACTCGGTGGTTTCAGTGTCATTCTTAAGCCACTGGGAAAGGGTTATTCGCAAAATCATCAGGTTATTGAAGGGGAAAAAGGACTCAATCCAACTTCAAGCAATGGCCAACTACACCTGATGGATGTTTATAAAGGCGGAGGGGAAAAAACAGCGTCATGATAACCACATTTCCATACTGGTGAAATAGCACTTTCTAATCAAAAAAACAAAGAGAAGCTGCCAGAGCATTCTGGGTTTTCCCATCTCCAGGAAGAAATCGCTCCAGAAGCTACAAGCTGCCTCCCAGTATTGTCCCTTTCCTACTCAGTGAAGCCAACTGTAGAGTTTATTTTCCAGTCTCTAGCTAGTGTGGCTATGTGTCCACGTTCTGACCAGAAGAAATGTGAAAACTGCACACAGATCTATGAGAAGCTGACAAAAAGGAGGTGACTCTTTTGGGAAATGAGATTGTTTTTGTCCTTTTCCCTCCTCTTTTCTGCTTTCCAGGTGGAATGTGATGGGTGGAGCACCATCAGCCATTTTGGACCAAGAAGTGACCATGAGTTTGGAAGTCACAGACCACAATGGGAGTAAAGCAGAAAGATGGGAAGAGTCTAAATCCCAGATGAATATGAGGCCATCACATCAGCCTGGACTTATTGCTTCCAACATCCTCCACATGAAAGAAATAAGTCTCTGTGTCACTTCATGTTAGTAATATTCTAAATAAATCTTAAAGTTAGCAAAATGTTAGGGTTCTCTGTTATCTAAACTAGAAGTAATCCTAATATGACCCACCACTGAAATTCACTTACAAGCTCTATTTAAATGAAGGAATTCCATTTACATCAACACAGAGCTCTTCAGTGTGGCAAGAGAACAGTGCTTACTTCTGGGAGATGAGAAGCACCAGGGCCTAAAAACCAAGTTCTCAGTGGGATAAAGAAGCTAATGTACACATATTCAGGTTTAAAATAACAGGCGTAAATGGGGCCTGGAGCTAGCCCCACGACATTAATGGAATTCCAGCTTAATTTTTTTAGGAAGAAGCACTTTTGCTAGGCTGAGAGTTTCAGATGCAGTCTGCGGTTTGCTAAGACATGGAATGTTGAGTGAATGCAGAAGGTGACTTGTAAGGAAAAAGGAAGGCCACTGTAATGAAAAAGTGGGTACCAACGGGGATTCAGGGAGTACTTAGTACAAAACCAAAGTGCTTTACCTTCATTTTTTTCAGCTTTAATTGAGTTTATTGGTACATTTTGGGGATACACTACAGTTACATTCATTGTTGGGATCTTGTACCTCTACATGACGGGTCTTGGTTCTCATTTTTTCCCCATGTCCCTGCCCTCCCTTCACCTCCTCCTCCCCTCCCCATCTACAAACACTTTATTTCCATCTTTTCATTATCTCACATTTATTTCTTTTCCCTTAATACCCTTCCACTACCCATCCCACCTTCCCTACACCTTTAGCCCCTTTCTTCCCATTTCACAATGTCAGTAATCTTATTAGGATCTTATGTATTATTGCAGATTATTCACACCAGAGAAACTATTTGGCGTTTACACATGTGTGACTTATTTATTTCACTTAGGAGTATATCTTCAATATGTATCCATTTTCCTATGAATCTATTTTCTCATTCTTTATGGCTGAGTAATATTCCATTTTATAGAAAAATACATCTCCTTTATCCAGTTTCCAACTGATGGGCAAATGGGCTGTTTCCAAGTTTTAGCTTTACAAACTGTGCTGCTATAAACATGGGTGTGCATACATCACTGTGATATAATTCTTTTAGCTCTTTTGGAAAGATACCCAGCAGAGGGATGGCTGGGTCAAATGGAACCTCTAGTCCCAGCTCTTTGAGGTATCTCCATATTGATTTCCACAGTGGTTGCACCAGTCTGCACTCCCACCAACAATGGAGAAGAGTTCCTTTCTCCCCACAACCCCACCAACATTTGTTATTGTGTGATTTCTTGATAGAAGCCATTCTTTGTGGGGTGAGGTGGAATCTCAATATTGTTTCCATGTGCATCTCTTGAATGACCAGTGATGTGGAGCATTTTCTCATATATTTACTTGCTGCTTTTACTTCTTTGTCTGAGAAAGGTCTGTTCATTTCAGATGCCCATTTTTGAATTGGGTCTTTATATTTGGGGGGGCTGATTGTTTTGAGTTCTTTATATATTCTAGATAATAGTCCTTTGTCGGAGGAGCAGCTGGTAAAAAATTTTTCCCACATTGTAGGTTGTCTCTTCGTTCCGCTGATGGTTTCTTTTGCAGTACAGAAGCTTTTTAATAAGATGAGATCCCAGTTGTTGATTCTTTTTGCTAGTTCCCATGCTACTGAGGATTTGTTCATAAAGTCTTTTCCTATGCCAATGTCTTCAAGGGTTCTGCCTAACTTATCTTCCAGCAAGTTTAATGTTTCTATTTTAATATTTAGATCTTTAATCCACTTGGATTTTAGTTTAGTGCATGGGTCCAGTTTTAATCTGTGGCAGGTTGAAATCCAGTTTTTCCAACACCATTTATTAAAGAGGCTATCTTTCCTCCACTGAAGATAGTCAGCTCCTTTGTCAAAGATGAGGTAGCTGAGTACATCTGGAGTTGTTTTTGTGTCTTCCAATCTGTTCCACTGATCCTCAGGCCTGTTTTTTTGCCAGTACCATGCTGTTTTTATCACAGTGGCTTTGTAGTATAGTTTCAAATTGGGAATTGTTATACCCACTGCCATGTGTCTGTTGCCTAGGATGGCTTTTGCTATTCTAGGTCTCTTATGGTTCCAAATGAATTTTTGGGTTCTTTTTTCTAGTTCTGCGAAATATAGTGTTGGAATTTCAACTGGCACTCCACTGAATCTGTACAGCAGTTTTGGTAGTATGGCCATTTTCACTATGTTGATTCTTCCTACCCAGGAGCAGGGGATATCTTTCCATTTTTTTATATCCTCTTCAATTTCTTTTTTCAGAGTGCTATAGTTTTCAGTGTAGAGATCTTTTGCTTCGTTAGATTGATTCCTAGATGCTTCATTTTTTTGGATGCTATTGTAAAAGGAATTTTTTCCCTAATTTCTTTCTCAGTGAGTCTGTTGTTTGTGTACAAGAAGGCTATTGATTTTTGGGTGTTGACCTTGTATCCAGCTACTCTACTGAATCTGTCAATTAAGTCTAGAAGTTTTTTGGTGTTTTTTTGGGTCTTCAATGTAGAGTATCATATCATCAGCAAATAATGACAGTTTAACTTCTTCCTTTCCTATCTTTATTGCTTTAATTTCTTTCTCTTGTCTAATTGCTGTGGCTAATGTTTCCAGAACTATATCGAAGAGGAGTGGTGATAGTGGCATCCTTGTCTTGTTCCTGATTTTAACATGAAGTTCACCTTCATTTTTTAAACTGTGACTTGACAATATCCTTCACCTTCAAAATTACCACTGGAAGAGCTGGGGATGTAGCTCATTGGCAGAGCACTTGGCTAGCACATACAAGACCCTGTGTTCGATTCCAGCACTTCAACTGAATAATAATAATAATAATTACCACTGATGTAAAATCAATCCTCAAAGGTTAAAGACTAAAGAGGTCAACTGATTTCTTCAAACAAAAAAAAAAGAAAACATGAAAAGTAACTACATGAAGTCCAACTGTTTATTTCTACCTTCAAGAAGCCATGCCGATGTCATTTAATCAAGAAATCACATTATCTATATATTGTGAAGGAAAATAGAAGGCTAACGGCCAAGTGTTGGTCAGCACGTACTCAACCATTTCAGCTCTGGGTCTCATTGTAGGCTGCTTTGGGTCTGGTTGGTTCATTGAGGTTGCATCACAAAATCACGTGGTGAGTGAGAAACATTAGCCAAGGTGGAAAAACCAACTGCAGACATGCCACATGAAGAAAACTGTGAGTTACAAAGCAGGAGAGAGGTCAGAATAATCAGGCCCAGCATGGAGAAAATGAGAATCAAACCAGGAAGGAAACTCAGCTCCATGACTGTTTCAATGGTTTTACCTTTTAAATAATTCATGTGTCTTTTCATTGCAACCATAACATATTTGTTATAGAAAAAAAGCTTAAATGCAAATAAGCAAAAAGAGGAAAGTCAGAATTATTTCCATTGTATCACTTTGAGCTACTATTAATAATTTAAACTAAAGCATATTCTTCCAGACCCTTCTAGTCTCCCAGATATTTCTTTATATGTGGGTTCATGTATATACCTGTGTGGAAACTCAGATAATTATATATGTATATAAACCTGAATACATACATACATACACATATGGAAATAATGTGTATAAAGTTTTTACCAAAACAAAAATCATACTATGCAAACAGTTTTGAGATGTCTTTCAAATAATAATCCCAAGCATGATAGTAATACAACACTGTTTACTCAAACATTATCAAGCCATTTGCAGCCCAAGAAAATTATATCAGAATTTTAATATGAAATATGAGCATAATTACATGATACAGAAATCAACAGTCATTTCCATAAGCAAAACTGACTCTTCTGAAAGGGGAAAACTAGAACATCACCATAAGGCAAACACCACAGTTATAACTGTTACAAGGCAAAATCCACTATTGGATAGTAAAATTAATAAGCAAATCTCTGAGGAGAAACAAGACATTAGCATAGTCTCAAAGGAGCACTCCATTAATTGCATTATAATTTACAGAGAGGAAGCCAGGAGACACTATCGTAAGCTGTATCAAGTTCAACATCCCTGGTATGAAGACGAAATCTGGTACCTCCTGACACCATGCACTTAGGGAAAGACATTACCTCAGTAGTAGTCTGGCTAGAATTCCCTAACTTCAGACTTTCATGAGAAAACATCAGATCAACCCAAACTGAGGAGCATTCTACAAAATAACTGACCAGTACTCTTCAAAAAAAAAAAAAATACTCTGAGGAACTACCAGAATGGAAATGGTAAAGGAAATACAACAACTGAATATTAATACAATGTGGGAACCTGGACTGGAGTCTGTGACCAAAAAGGGACATTTGTGGAAAAAGTGATGAAATCTCAATAAAATCTTAAGTTGGGCTAATTAAAAAAAGAAAAGAAAAAGTCGCTCTTCTTCAAAGGCAATAAAAAAAAGATTGAAAGCAGGATGATAATCACCCTCTATTCACTATAATTGCTTCAACACACTAACCCCAACTAAGGCTAATAAAAGCATCCTTCACCACTAGGTAGATGCAAAGTAGAATCAGGGATTCTTAATTAAAACTGACCCTCTCATCCTTAAATTGTAGAGTAATAAAACTAGTGTTACTTCAAATTAGACATACCAATGCGTGTACACACACGCACACACACACACACACACACACACACAATCTGAGGACATAATCAATAACTATTTACATTACCTAAAAAAATCTTGGAATTCCTCCTTTTTGGTAAAGCTCCACCAGATGCCCCTCTTACCTTCTGAAAAGAAAGCAAGAGATCATTAAAATGCAGCCTATGGAATAAAGTTTGAAAAGCAAAAGCATCTAATTTGTATTCAAAGCTGTATGAAATGACCCCACCTTTTATAAAAAGGCTGGCAGGAACTATTCGATCTAGACTAGATATTCCAGGATAAACAGGAACGTACGGAGCACAGTGCTGCTGCTGCTGCCGCCGCACCCTATTACTCTCATCGCGTTCTACAGGAAGCACTTGCGGAAAGGAAAGGGAACCTCAAAGGCCCGGGTAAAGCAGATGCTTCAACCTCAATCAGCATGAGCTCCCGGAAGGCTGGTGAGATGAGGACAGTGGGGGAATGGCTGTGCCCTCCAGGAGATGAGAGTCCTGTTCCCCTCCTTACCTAGGGGACCCCCAACTTGGTTCTGTGCATGATCAACACCTATTGTTGACTGTAGTAAATGTCTATATCCTGTCACTGATACCCTGATCATGTGAAGCCTTCTTAAACATCTCTGAAGCATGTTAAATGGCTGTGATTGCTGTCCTGATCTTGATGCATTTCTGCCTGGTGTGGAAGTCCCCATAGCAATAAATAACTGCCCAGCACACGGCTGCCAAAGAGGTCATTCATCTGATGCTCACACAAGTAATTTTACTCTCATATAGGATTATAATAATTATAATAATTCCAAGTGGCCAAGGTCATTTCCACAATACATTTTATCAATTCCTAAAAAAGAACAAGCTTCCAATCACCACAACATGTGAGGGTCCAACCTCAGAATCTTTCCAAGAAGCCAAGCCTCAAGACTTTGATGCACATTTGCTGCTTCTTTGTTTTAGGAGTCCTAAGTCTCCTATCGCACATTTCTTCAAAATCAAAAGCTAACTCTCTGTGCTTCTCAGAGTAAGTTTTTATAGCTTCTACTATAAGCTTACAGTTTACATCCTAGATATCTCACTATTGTGGAGAACCATAGATCCGCCCCTCCGCCATTTTATGATACAGCCTATGAAGCCATTTTGTATTAGGTTTAGTTTTCCTGTAGATCACATGATATGTTCCCGTGGGTGTTTGATGTATCCTTATAAGGTAATAATCTGTTCTCTGTATGCTGATTGGTTGCATTATGGTATATATGTTGCCACCCCTTCCGGGCGCGGAGAGCGGGGTAGAGATCCGGAGATGAGGAACTAAAGTAAACTCCTTGTGTATCAAGTGTGTGCCTCTTTGCTCGCGCGTCGCCAGTTCAGGCCCCTGTAGTCGCAGACCGAGTTGCCCAAGGCAATCCGGCTCGCGACAACTATTATGGCTCACTTTTCCTCCAAAACCTTTGTTTATTCCTTAGCTATTGGCATTTCTAAGATGCCATTTGATCAGACTGTCTTCTTTCCCCAAAGATGCCCATCTTCACATCAGTGTAATCCATATCCTTTAACTGTTTTCTCTAAACTGATGACTTCCAGGTTAATATCTCTCCGGAGCTGAAATCTGACCATTCAACTCTAACCTGGATTTTATTATTCAACATCACATAGGTCCCCTCATGTTCGGTGTACCCAAACTGTACTCTGCTCTTTCTCAAAATAGTCCTTCTTCACGACTTCCAGAGACTTCAACATCCTTTGGGTTCTCCCTTCCTTCCGCGTCTTCTTGGTGATTAAGTCTTGTTACCTGGGCTTCCCACACAGCTCTAAAGCCCTTTTCATCCTTACCGTTCTGTCTGAGTACTCGTTATCCCTGAAAAGGACTCCTGCAATAGCTTCCTAATGAATGGAATGGTTACAGAAGGATATAGATGACACTAATGTGAAGATGAGCATCTTTTGGAGAAAGAAAACAGATTGGCCAAATGGCATCTTAGTAAATGCCAATAGCTAAGGAGTAAACAGAGAAAAGCATGCTACTTTTTAAAATGCAAAGGCATCCAGAAAGAAGGAGGAAAGCTCAGAAAGGATGATGCTAAGAAAACGAGGCAGGGACAGTTTCTGTGGAAAGTAAACTCAAGTATTCAAATACTCAAAATGTCAGGTAGCATTAGAGATAAAACACCCACCAAGTACTACAGCACGCAGGAGCTCATGGACAATCTTGGCAATTTTGTAGATTAACAAAGATCAATCAGACTTCAATGCTGAGTCCTAAGGGGAGGTGTAGCAGTGAGTATGAAGAGAAAAGTTTTTAAAGACGCTTCGATTTAAGGATACTATGATTACAGAAGGACCCAAATTAGAGGGAAAGTTTTATGGAGGATTTTAAGGTGGAAGACAATAAGCCAGGAGAAAGAGAAGCCGGAGCTGTAACACAGGTACAATTAATGAACGAGCAAGGTTGTGAGCTAGGAGGAACCAGGGTCAAGAGGACAGATGTATCACAGCTTTCTGCTGAAATGGGAGTGAAACAAATGTGGAAACAGATGCAGACAGGCTTCCAGGACGCAAGGGGAAAATTTCTGGCTCTGTAATGTTTATGTCAAAAGAGTTTTCTGAGAATGAGAAATACTGATAAAAGCTTGAGGAAAAATCCGAAGTTCAGAGTGGTCACTCAGGAAAGTGGGGAGGACACAGACAGTGAGTGGACCCCACAGAAAGGGGAAACTCAGAAGTCTGACAAAGTATCTACTATCATCTGCATGGCGTTTACTACTCCAAATATTTGTGTGTTAGAGACTTGGTCTTCAGTGTAGCATGGGAAGGTGGTGGGACATTTAAAGATGAGACTCAATGAGAGTTCTTTAGGCCAAGGAAGGATGCCTTAGAAGGGATTATGGGACTCTAGCCTCTTTGGCTTCCTGTTTCATGTGATTTCTTCCCCCATACACACTTCACCATCAGCCATTTTTCATGGGGTCCTTACCAGAGCCTTCCTCAGGTATTTCATTATAGTAATGCAAAACAAACTAATGCAGTCCCAGGTGCCATGATGGTAAGGGGGCCTCCAAGCAATTTGTGCATGGAAATGGAGAGACTGCTCAGCTGGTTGGAGTTCTGGAGGACAATTAAAGGGGCAAAACAAGAAACACGGGCTTGTTACAAGAATTGCTGATGATAGAATGTTTAGAACCATGGGTCAATTAGAAGCAAGGTAAACAAGTCACAGGCTAAGACCTAAGGAGGTAGAGCTACAGCCCAAAATGGAAATGAGAGAGTGAAAGAGCAAAAACAAGAGGAGGACCTGGTCAAAGAGTGAAATGTTTCACTTAAAATTTTAGAGACAGAGCTGACCATACAAGATTTACCAGCATTCCACAATGTTGCCACTGACTTTGTGACCCTGAGAAAGTTATTAAGGCTCTAGGCTTCTGTTTCTTTTCTTTTTCTTGCTTGAGCTGCCTAAAATTTTATCACTTTACAATGAGATATGAGCCATATATATATATGGCCACATATATGAGAACTCCCCAAGAATTGTCATGCAGTACCCAAAAGGACGCATGGACATAAATCTTATCACATCAGACCAAAATTAAACTATTCTAAAACTAATTTTTGCATTTATGGCTTGTATGACCTCCAGCCTTTCTCTTAAACAGTGTACATATTAGGTAAACAAGAGAGAGAAATTAATAAAATTCAAATCAGAATTGACTAGAAGATTCAAAACAGTCTGCACATTATTAGGACTATAGAAAATGGACATCTGAAAATTAATAACGTACCAAACTAATATCAATAAACAATTAAATATGTAAACAATAAAAGCAGTAACATGAGTAACAAAAAATTTAGGGTACCTTAGAAATTTATCAAGATGAAAATTCATTTACAGAAAATTTCAAAATATTATTAAACTATAAAAACGATTAGATACAGAAATATGCCAGATTAAGTGGTCATTCAATAAATATTTGTGACGCACTTACTATAAGCTAGGCATTGTCAGACGCTTAAGGACACAGGAGTGAAAACGGAAGATAAAAATCCATGCCCTCATGGAATTTCCATGGTATGAATTATAGATTAATCTGTAGCTTCAATGTGAGTGGGACCTAAACCTCAACAGTATTTTTTTTTTTAGTTTTTTTTTTTTTTTTTTTTTTTTTGGTACCGGGAATCAAACTTGGGACCTTGTGCTTTCAAGGCAGACAGTCATTGTACTGAGCTAAATCCCCAGCCCTCAGGAGTATATTTTTTAAATAGATGAACTGATTCCTAAGTTCATTTTAGAAAAATACATGTCTAAACATACCCAAGAGAGTCCAGGGTTAGGGGGAGGGGAGTAAACAAAGAGTATTTTCACTATAGTACTAGATATGAAGGCTTGTCGCAACAGTACAAAGACTTGCCACAGACTCTCTCCAGAGAGAGAAACAGACAAGATCAACAGAACACAAGTAAGATCCCCAAACAAACCCAAGTGTGAATATCAAGTTAAAATATGAAAAAGATGGTGCCATAATAAGTTATTGTGAAAGGTGTTAGTTGTCATTATGGAAAAAATAGTTCCCAGTTCTTCATACAAATATAAGAATAAATATAGGTGGATTAAAAACTTAAAATGTTAAAACATGCTCATTTACTATTTTAAAAAGCTGCTAGAAGAAATATTTTATGACATTGATTTGGGAAACACTCTTAGATGAGCTCCAAATAGTATAACTTATAAGAGAAAAATTTATTAAATCTAACAATAACAGAATTTAAAGCTTCTTTTCTACAAAAATTTTTCACACAAAAAGTAAAAAGACTTGTCACAGACTATAAGAAAATTTTGTACATAATAGACAAATATTTGATGACCAAAATGTAAAAAGAATTTATCAAATATATAAATAAAAAAGGTAAATTCACAAAGAAGCCAAAAACACAAATAGGAAGATTAGAGAAAAGAAAATCAGGGCTGGGGATTTAGTTCAGTGGTGCCACGTGTGCCTCTCCACCACAAGGTCCTGAGTTTGATCCCTGTTACCAAAACAAACAAACAAAACCAAAATGGACAATAAATATATGAAAAGATGTTCAATCCTCATGGAAATAAATATTAACTTTTTGCATGTCATTGCCTAGCCAAAAATCAAGGATTGGCGAAGCTGAGAGGAAATAGGAATTCCTAAGCATTACAACTAGGAGTATAAATTGCTGCAATCACCCTGGAGAGAGAGACCGAGCTTTATCTAATAAAAATGAATACAAACACACCTATGAACTAGCCATATCACTTCCATTTATCTTTCCTACAGAAATTTTGCACGTATTCCCCCTGGAGAAATGTATAGAAATGTTAGTTTCCACACTGTTTTCAGTAGGAAAAAAAAATCTAAGCATTCATCAATAGAAGAGTAGAATAATTACAAGGTACTCATTGGCTAGAGTACCAGATAACTACTAAAATTAAGTACCCTCAGATGCATCCTCAACATGCATAGATTCCAAAAACCACACTGAATGGGGAAGCACTACACAGAATTATACGTAACAGGGTGACAGCATATAACTACATCCTCAAAATATACAAACTATATATTGTTCATGAACACACAAGGTAAATCAAACATAATGGCACACATGGAAATCAAAAGCAACAATTCACAGCAGTGGTTACTTTGAAAGAAGTCCCTTCCACAGGGACTTGAATTTTCAGGAAATCTATGTTTTTCTCACTAAAAATAAATAAATAAACAATAGCAAAAACACCCAAATGTTTTGTCACTGCTGACTTTTGGACCCATGAGTGTATCTAGCATTATGTATTTTCTATACGTTTTATGTGGACTTTTTCTGTTCTTAAACTTAAATTATCTTTTTTCCCATCAGTCAACCCACGTCCTCTTAACAACTCCATTGCGGAGTCCAGAAGAAGAAGAATAAAAGTGGCTAAGATAAGGATTGGGGAAAATCTGACTTTCTGCACACCGTGCTGTTTTTGTTTTCCAACATCAAAGAGAATGAGAAGGTCCGGGGATTTGGTTCATTGGTTCCACTGCCTGCCTCGCAAGCGCAAGGTCCCGAGTTCAATTCCCGATACCAAAAACAAACAAAGAGAATGAGAAGAAGTTATAGGGACACAGTAAAGCCTCCATGCCCAAGCACACTAAGACAATGTTACAGGGAAAGTATCAAGGTCAGTGGTCTACAAGTGTTTAGCTCACCTCTTTCACATGTCTTTTTAGGTGCATGTAGACACTCTGTCCAGTTTTTCGAAAATGTCTTTCAACATGTTCCCTTCCAAAGGCCAAAAATGTATTCATGCATACATAGAGTCCACCTTCAGAGTTCTAGAAGAAAGACACAGGACAAAACATTAGCCAAGGACATCCAGCCAAGTACTTAGTCAAGATATAGAAAAAGGAAAGGGAAATAGAGGCAGACAATAAAGACAAAGCCTAGCTATAGGCCATTATTACTTGTGTAACCATCTGTGATGACCTCTCTCGATGGCCCCAGAGCCACCCACAAGGGCAGTTCCTGTCCCAACTCAGCTGCAGGAGCTCCCAGGCCGCCAAGCCCTCGGTTTACCAAATACAGGCTACATTCACAGTCAAGTGAAATGCTCAGAGTCCCTACAAAATAAACATGCTTGCCTGACTTTAAAAAGGGAGGAAGGAAGTTAAAAGATGAAAAAAGTTGGCGAAGGATCCAACACTGTCATTACTGTCAGACTTTGTCATTTCTTCCTCCTTCATCCATGCAAACCTCCCAGGAACACAAAATTTTAGATCCTTTTAAGTTTCTTCAAAGATATTCGTTCCAAAAATTTAGTGACACATAAGTAAAATATGACAGTTTAATAAGTACATGGCTTGAAAAGTAAATAATAAAGGGTGTGTTCCGATAATAATCACAGCTATATACTACTGCACGCCAGATATGTGTCAGGTGCTTTACATAGCATATTATTTCTAATGTGAGCTTATGCAAAATGCTTATTAGTATTTTTATTTTATAGTTTTGAAAAAAAACTAAGAGTAAGTCATTTGTTCAAGTTCACCAGCTTGGAAGTATCAGAGTTAGATTTTATCTACTTTCTTTTTCTCTTCCTATGCCACATTTCAAAGCATGTGCGTTATCTCATTACAGAGACAACACTAAAATAAAGAGCCAAAGATAGCTTCTCATATTTTAAATAATGTTTTCTTCATTTCATCTCTCTTTTTCTCTTACTCTGCATAGCATGCTTTGCTCCAGACCATAAAAGTAGTCACCTTTCCTCTAAGGAAGTAGATTTTATCGAGTTCCTGTTAATCTCACCCCTCCAAATAATGAAAAACAAACTTCTTAAACACCTGTCAAAATTGCCAACCAGCCTCTATCAAACTTCCAAACACTGCACTCTAGTGAAGTACAAATTACAACATCAAAACCAACACTGACACACACTACAAATATGTAAAAAAATAATTCTTTAAATTCCAACAACTCAGGATTAACTTAAAAGTGAAAATCTCCAATGATGTATCTATGATTTATAAACCAGGATACAAAAGAAGCCTGCCACAGCCAGGATATTATAACAGCATTTGCTCAAATATGGGCCCCTCACTATAGCATGTATATTGCAATAAGGCAAAAAGTAAAAAGGAAGACAAGGGGCTGGGGATTAGCTCAGTGGCACTGCGTCTACCTCACAAGCACAAGGTCATGAGTTCTATCCCTGGTACAAAAAAAAAGTGGAGAGGAGGGAGGAACAATAAAGCACAAAAATGATTTCTATTTGATGGTGACTATATAGTTTATATGGAAGATGCTACAAAATCTACAAACTAATGAATTTAGCCAGGTCATAGGATACGAGTTAATCGACAAAAATAAGTTGCAATTTTATATATTAGCAACAAACACTTGCAAATGAAAGTCTCAAAGCTCAACTACAAAATAGCATCCAAAAACATAATTATAAGGCAGTTCGTCATACAGGCGACTGGGCTCCAGTGATCTCTAGAAACACAATTGTAGCTGCAATTCCATCTCACAGGGGAATCTGAAGGAATGAAGTTTAAAGGGGCTGAAACACACTAACGTGCTTTCTGCTCTTAAAGCAATTACATGAACATTGATTATTAATTATTATGGGTAATTATAATTATCCTATTAACCTAATTGTTCTCAAAGTGGGGGAAATCAGCAAAAGGAAGAATATGTTATTCTGATAGCCACACAAGCTGGAAAAAACAAATAGAAATTTAGACAACTAGTGGAAGAAGCAAGACACCAGCAAGCAAAAGGAGAAAAATGCTCAAGTGTGGTATCTTCTGAAGAAAAATGCTCACTTGCTGTACAATGCCAGAGGTCGTAAAGTAATATGTGAGACAGTCATAAGGTCTTTGATAAGTTCGTTGTCAAGATGGGTTGACTTGTTAGGGAATCTGACAAAAATTTAATGTATCAAGCATTCATCCTCAGTTCCTGCAGTTGCCTGATATTGTCACCAAGCCCATAATCAAAGAGAAAAATGTGATTATGGCCACCTAGGGAAGGGTTCTATTAGAAACATCCATGAGCATCTCCTCTGAAGCAGGTCATGCTATGAAGACATGCCCAATGGGCCTGACAGCAGGTGTAAAACTTAAGGAAACACTGAGACAGAAGTCCCTTTCAACGCTGTTCCACCTGGAATGAACACCCAATCTAATGTTCTACGCTTTCTTCCCTCTTGCCTTCCTAACAATTAAATATGAGTCCTGTAATATCTGCTCTTTCAGATTCAACATCAGCATTCTATGGCCTGTGCACTGAATTGCTTCATTCAATAATTACGAGAAGACTCACTGGAAAATCTCGGCCAGACCCTTGTGAACAAGGCATAGAGGATGGTGTGCAGCCTGGCCTCGGAGCTAAGCTGATTTCAAACCCTCAACTTTGTCTTCTCATTGACCAGCCACCCACCCACTAGGATCATCACCCCCAGAAAAAGCAGTACAGCACTCACCTCCCAATAATCAAAACTGCACCCACAAAGTCAGGTAGGTTTCAGAATTACATCAGTTGACAGTGACGTGGAAATGAAAGAGTAAAAGAGTAAAATACAAAATAATGCTTGTTTTAAAGCATTATTTTGTTTAAAGCAATAGCAGTAGAGATGCTCCGTTAAATCGAAAAGATTAAAACTGAAATTCATAGAATACTGATTTAATTTTCAAAGAAGAGTAGCATAGAATGGACATTCCAGAAATATATATATTCTATGATAATTAATGAGTATATATCAAGCCATTAGAGACAAAATAGGAAAAATAATTCACTAATAAGGGGCCAGGATGTAGCTCAGTGGTGCCACGCCTGCCTGGCAAGTGCAAGGGCCTGAGTTCAATCCCCAGTACTGGGGGAAAAAAGAATTCACTAATGAAAGCTACTGAAGTGGACTGGAGATGTAGCTCAGTGATAAGAGCACCGGCCTGCCATGCATGAGGTTCTGGGTTTGAGCCTGGTTCCAAAGGGCTGAAGGTGTAACTCAGTAGCAGAGCACATGCTCAGCATGTTTGAGGCCCTGGATTTAATTCCCAGCATTAAAATGAAAGAAAAAGAGAAAGTTGCTGAAACGGTATGACATCAATATAGAAGAAAATTAAACTACACTGACATCTTAAATTCTGTGCTGAGGTCCAAAACATAAGCAATTTATTTATTTTTTTATAGGAAGCACCCACACCCTAGAACAGTTTATTAAGACTTTATTGATGGGCCAGGGATTTAGCTCAGCGGTTCGGTGGCCTGCCTTGCAAGTGCAAGGACCCGAGTTCAATCCCCAGTACCAAAAAAAAAAAAAAAAAAAACACTTTATTGCTTATGCAGTTAGAGAGACAATGATTGAGCTATAGAAGTTTCCTATACCTGGTCACAGGTCACTCTGTCCAGAGCTTCTCCAGACTGTGGGGAGCTGGGACACTAGGCAGAGGTGCAGGCTCCACAGTGGGAAGATGGTACCTCCCAAGAACCTTGGAGGTGGCACAGGCCTTCAAGAGGGCCCAGGGGCAACATTCCCTGAGACAAACCCCAGCCCCCTCTAGGGTCTCCAGACTAAAGGCTGGGTGTGTGCAGCAGGACTGTGGAGAGGGCAGATGTCTCCAGGCACTGCTGGAGATGGGGAAGCTTAGCAGAGTGGCCTGGGTGATGGTTGTATAATTTGTGGCAACTGGACCTTCCCGAATGAGAGTGGGGAATGAATATTCCTTGGGGGAAGTCATGCACCAAGATCGAGCTGAAGCAGCCAGTACCATGCCTAGTGGCAGTGGATCTGCCAGGCAAGGAAAGTCATCTGTTGCCCACATCCTACTCTGAGAAACTGCTCATGCAGGGATGAGACAAGAGGCCTCCCATGTCAGAGATGGGGTTACTTCTTAGGACTATGTGTTGATACTCCCAACTTCTTAGTCTGGAACAACTTGGAGGTGTGGTGGGAGAGTTCGAAGTTTTCTTAAGCAAACCCACTCTTCAGGTCTCCCAGGGGTACCCCTTTACCTAGCACCTCCAGAGACTCATCTGGCTGCTCTCACCTCCCCAGCTTTTCTCACAAGGCACTTGTTACAGAGCTGCTGAAGAGGTTGGGGGAGGCCTGGGAGGTGACTTTAGTAGTGGCATCCAATCCACTGGGTAAGAAAGTGACTGGAGATGGTCAGGAGCTAGTGGCTGCCATGGTACAGGTGCACAGCCAGGCCAATGGGCAATGTGGCCAGGAAGAAGGTGGCTGTGAGCTGCAGTCCCAAAAGGGCTGCTGAAAGTACAGCACTGACCACCAACGAACAAGATACAACAAAGAGGCGTGTGATGCTGCTGCCATGCTTCATGACAGCTGACATAAGCAGCCCATTGAGTGCCTGGCTCAGCACTACAAGTGCCGCCCATCCTGAGAAACCTTCCAGGAGGCCTGGGCCAGGACCACTGCCTGCATGCAGACAAGGGTTCAGCAGCACACCGGAAGTGTAGAGGAAGAGGTTCTGCAGTGCTAGGGGCAGTCGCTGTCGCTTCATGAGCTGCTCTGCGTACACAGAGGACAAGCCTGAGATGAAGCAGTACAGGGTGAGGAGCAGCAGTCCCAGTGGAGTGATACGCAGGGGCATGATGCTGGCAGCAGCTGCTGGTGGGGGCCCTGGAACGGTGTTCCCAGAGTCCTGAAGGCCACCTGCTGCATAAAAGGCCCCTGCGACCATCAGCAGTAGCATTGCCAACCCTTGACATGCAGAGAGGCGGCGCCGGAGGCAGAGGCAGTACAACAGGGCTGTGCTTCCAATCGTGAGATTGCTCAGTACTTGGTAGGTGCTGGGGTCCATGTAATGCTGTAGATAGATCACTAGGTTGTTGCTGGTGCCATAGAGGAGGGCTGACAGTGCAAAAGGAGCAGCTTGGCGCCAGGGTGGGCCTCCCATGGGCCATGCTTGCCATCCCACCAGGAGGGAGAAGGCGCATAACAGTAGCTTGGTCAGCTCAGTGAGCAGCACAGCCGAGGAGGTTCTGAAGGGTACTCGGCCATCCACATGACACAGTGCCAGCAATGGAGCATGTGCGCCATACACGGCAGTGGACAGGAGTAACATCAGGGTCCAATGGGCCTGCCTGTGATGGCCCAGGCCAGGTATACCCTCCTCCTCTACACTCATGCCCCAATCAGACCCTGGGTGGCCTGTGTAGTTAGCAAGGGGCAAAGGGATTGGGACCCATTTGAGAGATATCAAGTTATAGAGCCAGCTCCCAGGAAGGAGGAGCTGGGGTACATTGTGAGAGAGACCACTGAAGATTAGAGTCAGCTGCACACTCCAGTTAGGTTAGAAGAGGAAGGGACAGGTGAATCATAGTCTTGGGGCCAGTCTCATGGAGCCAGGGAGGGAAGAAATCCAGGGTGCAGGCTGACAAGCCACTGTACAGCCTCTGCAGGAAAAAAGCAAAGATGAAGGTGGCAGGACAGATGGATGACAGCTGGGGAAGCCAGACAGTGTCTATGGTCAAAAGGGCTCCACCTTCAGGCCCAGTTGCTCGTCCTCTCTCTTCCATGGGATCTGGAGCTAGTCAGGCCCCTTTCGAAATGATTGGAAGTAGTCCCTTAATGTTTTCTCCACATTGGGCAAAGCATATGCCTGAGCTGCGTAGATGCCCGTGCAGGTGCCCACAGCAAACCCCAGTACTGCTGATGCCCTCAGTTTGGCCACCACATGGCCAGCCAGGAATCCCTTGAGGAATGGGGAGGACAAGAGTGAGCCACCCTGGCCCACACACCACTGTTGACTTCATCTTCCACTCATTGCTGCAGGTGCTCCAACTGGTTCTTGAGAAATGCCAGGTCCTTAAGCTTGGGCAGAGAATCCTTGTCATCCGCCATCTTGCCCGCCGAACTTGTTCCATAAGCAATTTAAAAACTAGAAAAAGGAGCTGAGGTGTAGCTCAGTCGTAGTGGCTGCGTGCAAGGCCAGGGATCCAATCCCTAGCACCAAAAATACAAAACAACAACAGCAACAAGACAAGAGCAGAATAGCATCTTCATATCTAATCCACTTATAAAGTAGAAAATAATTTCTGGCCAAGACAATAAAGAATACCATCAGAGATGATGTAACCAAGTATAAAAATGTAAACACAAATGAATTTTATGACAAAAACTATAATTAAATAGAAAACCAACAGCAGAAAGAGGAAAGATGTAAAGTAAAATGAGCCAAAGATTACATCCACACTATGTAAGAAACTAATAAAAAAAATTATAGGATGTCAATATTTCAAATTAGTAAAGAGGTTTTTTTTAACTATTTTTTATTATTTTTGCTTTTGTTTTTTATTTTTCTTTTGGTACCAGGGATCAAACTTGGGACCTTGCTTTTGCAAGGTAGGCGGAGGAACCACTGAGCTAAATCCCAGGCCCTAAAACCATTTGATTTTAAATATGCAAAAGACATTAAAATCAAATCGTCACATCTTTACAACCTCCTAACATAAGCACATTAAAATAATCTCAAGGCATATGCCCAATAACTAGGGAAAAGTTACTAAAATCACAGACCCTAAAGCTACATAGAAAACCCATATAGTAATCCCCACCATACAAATCAGTTCAGTCTTTCCAGAGAGCAATGAAATTTGACCCTTTGGCACAGTATATCCCCTTTGGGTAAAGACTTCAGGAACACAAAAGAAAGATGAAATAAACCCTAATTTGTAAAGAAACATTCACAGATGCACTATTTACAATGAGAAAAAGTAGCAATGGTCATACATAGAGAAACTAAGAAACCACAGCATATAAACACGACAAAAAATATTACTTAAAATGACAAGTTAATGCAGTATATGTAGTATGCATAGGAAATGTGTGCAGAATTTTATATAATATATGGAGAAATTAATTTTAATGAATAAATATCACATCATGCTGACGGTAGGGCTCTGGGCCCGTGCGGGGGCTGCACATTGGCCAGGGCCTGATGTGAAACTGGAATGTGACAACCCACTCACATTTACTTAAGTTCTTGACTTTCGGGTCCACAGCCTCAGGTCCCACTACATCCTGTTGGTCTAGAGTGATGCTTCTCAAACTGCTGCCATGAAGGACAAGGCTGTTTTGATTTCTTTTGTCTCACTTCTGTTCATTAAGAAAAGCCACATGGCCAGTTGGTTCACAGCTCAAGCCACACACACGTCTGTGCACGTGTGAGTATCACAAAAGCCAAACAGGTCCCTCTCCTGTTCCAATAAATCCGGGGAATGAGAGGTGGCTGCAACGTCAAGTTGCCGTAGAGATCTGAACACTCACTCTCAGTGTTGCACCCGCCTCTTGGCAATGGTCAGTCCCCATGCTTTGGGTGGCCCTGGTCTGGAGTTCAGTGAACCCTGCCCCACTCTCGACACCAACAAAGCATCACCTAGGGGCTGCTGGATGTGAGGTCAGGCTGCCAGTCTTGACAGCAGCCCTCACGGATGCCAAGCACACAGGTCAACATCCGCTGCACTGTGCATGTTCCCCAGATGCCACACACCACCACCAGCCTCGGCCCCTGACCCCCACTCCATCTCCTGGACTAGACCCTGTCTGACTGCCCTTAACCCCAAATCCACTTTCAGTTCACCATTGCAGGCACCCGGTTCATTGAATTCCGTGGCTGTGACAAGCTTCTTTCACATGGAGTCACCACCTTCAGAAGCTCCTTATAAGGCAGGAAAACCATGTCATATTCCTAACTGAATTCCCCAAAACAGTATCTCATGCAGAGCAGGATCAAACAAGCATTGGTGGAGTGAATGACAACTTCTATGTCATTATTTGGCGCTCGATCACATGGTTTAGTCTCTCCCAAACTGTCCCTCAGTACCCTTCTGAACTGAATTTCAAATGCTTTATGGTATAGGTCTGAAGTTTTTGGTGAACTAAGCACCGGGGATCATTATAATAAAACAAACAGCCACATGGTAGAAAAACAACCTGACACACCAGCAGGAATGCCAGTTTACCTGGTTGCCTGGCTAAAGTCACTCTCAGCAGCTTGGACACTTGAACCCAGCTGTGGTAAGCCTCCTATCTGCTGTGACCAAGGCAATCCTAAGTGGGTCTTCAGGACAGCAGCTGGCATCTCCACACCCTCTTCCCTCCCTAAACCCTATCTAGCGCCTGCTCTGAGGTACATCCACCCCAGAAGGACCAAGGTGGATGTTTCTGCACTAAGCTGAAGAGGGTTCTAATGATCATTGTCATAATGCACTAACCAGAAACTTCACTGATACCCAAGACTTTACTTTGACATCTAAAATCAAAAAGAAGTCAAGAAACAACTAGGGGCTTCATAATGATTCCCTTTGACAACTTCTCCCACCCTATGACCAAATGATAAGAGACAGGAACAGCTTCAGAAGCCCATATATTGTTAAAACCCATGCTTTAATATGTGTGTGTGTGGTTGTGTGTGTGTGTGTGTGTGTGGTATGTGCATAGCTATTTTTTTATTATTATATTGTATTAGCTACAAACTATTTAGAGTAACATCAAGGACAAAGCCCCTTCTTTTGTACTGCTTGCCATTTAAGAAAGTTGAAATATTCCCAAAGGTCAAGGTCACACACTTCAAATCAGCAAGTGAACAGTCATTTCAAATAAAAATACACTACATTGTCAATCAGTAGGTGTCCAGGGAACTCTGTTTACCATAGTGTTTGCTTGGAGACCAGCCTCCCTGGAAGGCAAGAAGGGGAGCAAGTGTGTGCGAGCGATGCAGTCAGGAAACAGCACCACCGCGGAGCACTTGTTTTCCTAACTACAGAGCAGCATCTCCCGTGGAAAACAAGCAGTCATTGCCGCAAAGAGAAACATGACGTGGGGATGGAGTCACAATAAATCCCCGTCCTGGACAAGTTACATACTAACGCCACTGGAAGACTGTGCTGACGCATCCCTGCAAAAGGGACCAGGGTGCGATATTTCATCAACAGTTTTTTAAAAAGAAAAAAATTTTAACTAAATTTTAGCTGCCAGAAATCATAAAATTAACCTGAATGCTTAGTAATTTATGGTACATCCACAAACTGCGATGCTCGTTGGACATTTACAATTGACTTGTAGGTGAGCCCTGACTGATACGAAACACATATGCAGTATTTTTGAGTGAAGAAAGAAGAACAAATCAGCACTGTAATTTTACAATGTACACAACATGTACACTCTGCCTGGTCTCATCCATGTTATCTCGGGGAGGGATTCTTCAACTCCATGTTCTTTTCTGGCATTTTGTAATTGCTCTTCCAGAACTTGAATTTGCCTTTTATTTGAAAAATAAAAACCTTCTTTTCTTAACTGAACATTTTTGGTACCCAAGTTTATGTACGTGGACCAGACCAGAAAAGGTTCACTTTTCTTGAACCTGGTTTCCCTGGCATTAAAGACCCAACTGCGTGGCTGTATGCGTCTGCACACTCTCCTTACTCAGAGTGAAATGTGGGTGAAATAACTAAGATTATCTTGTAGCTAAGGAATTTGGAAACACAAGCAAAACAGAAGCGATGAGGAGAGTAATCTCAGGGAGGCAGAAGACACTGTGATTACCACTGAGAAAAATGAAACTAATCAAGGACACAGTCCCCCAGTTGGATGCCACCCTTGTTTACAGAGAAGGACGACAGTGTGGAGTCTAGAAAAGAAGCTGAGAAAGAAAAGGAGGCTGTGACGCCTCCTCCAGGGCCAAGAGAAGCTGATAGGGTTGGAGCCGACAGGAGAGGATTCAGGGCCTCCACGCTCCACAGAGGCCAACAGAGAACAGAGCAGGGTTGGTGCCCTAAAGACAGTGACATCCTAGGAAGGAGGGACAGAGAATGAGCAAGAAAGATCTAGAAGGTAATTTCTAGCAATGGTAAGAGTAATAAGGAGTCTGAGTGTCGGGGTCTTTTTATAGATGGAGAACTAGAGATGAGGAAGAGGTTTCCGGGAAACTGAGAAAACAAAGGAAGAGCACCCTAACTGGACCAGAAAGCACATGCAAAGGCCGCAGCTCCAGAAAAGCGCTGCCTTTTTTCACAGGACAGAAAGGAAACCCAGGTCCTGTAGGAGCGTGAGAATACAGGTGACAGCAGAGGCCGGCCAGCTCCGGGGGCCACAGGCAAGGGAAGAGCTGGGCTTCACTCTAACTGGG